ACAAATTTAATTGGCTTTATGCTGTTTTTATTAGGGCTTATTATTTTTGGAAAATTAAATCTCCTCTCTCAAGGAATAAAGATTTTCACCTTTTTTTGAAATCCTTGCTTTATTGTTTTGATTAAATAAATGACTTATTTTACAATGACCTGTGATCATATTTTGATATCAAGTGTTTTAAATCTTTGATATTTGATGAACTTTCCCAAATCAAATTATAAATTATGTATTTTTCTGACCTAATTAATCCTTTAAGATATTAGGTTCCCTGAAGTCCAAAAATGATACATTTGGCTTATTTTGTATAAAAATTATACAGCAAATGTTGTCAAATATGAAGTGGCATTTGGTCTTTTTTAGGCTGTATTTTTATACATATATTACTGGTATGTGTTCCAAAAGTATGGCAAACTCCTATAATTCTGATATGACTTAGTGAATGTGATCAGTAATAATTATAATTGTTACATTAAATTATTGTATACTACATAGGTAACAAATTTTCTTGTCAGTTGTGTCTTTGCCTATGGCTGCCCTAAAAATTTTTGTCACCCATGGGCAATTATTATTTTGTTTCGTCCTCTTTAGAAGATGGTTTTATAATCAGCTATAAAACTCTTAACAGGTGCTCTTGAATGCAAGATTCAGATAACTTTGGAGATTGTGACATCAGAACAAATGAAAAACTTTCAGGACTCATGGAGAGTTGAAATGTTCATTAATAACAAGTAGAACAGGAATTATCTGCATGGACTGGACTAATAGAAGACTGAAGTAATCTTTTTGACTTTTTGCTTAAAATGTTGATGATCCTTTGTTTTTCAGGGTGAAGGAAACTTTTCTTTTGAGCTATTGACAACTTTCAACAATTTAGTATACTCCTATGGACAAAATTTGGAGCATATTTGTTTCTCTCTACCTGATTTCTCTGAAATTTGGAAACTATTTGTGACTATTCTTAGCTTCTGGCAATTTAGTTATTTGCATAAATGCAATAAGAATCTGTTTTGATTTGCAACAGGAGACAACTGCCAAAACTGGTTATTTTACCAAGGCTTTGACTGAAATGGTATGCTTTCCTCTACAGAATCAAAATTGATTTAGAGAGCCAATAAGAGCCCCTTGGGAAAACTGGCCTCATACCTTGTCTATATAGTTTCTGTACAGGATCAGAATGTCACAGAATGTACAGAATGTCACTTTCTGACAAGTCCAGGAGCCCCAAGTTATCATATGTAACCTCAAGAGTAGAATAATTCACCCAACTTGTAGGTATTTGATGGTACAAATTCATGGCTGAGCTTGGCTTTAAAAAAATCTTATCTGGGCTGGGCATGGTGGCTCAAGCCTGTAATCCCAGCACTTTGGGAGGCTGAGGCAGGTGGATCACGAGGTCAAGAGATCCAGACAAACCTGGTCAACATGGTGAAACCCTGTCTCTACTAAAAATACAAAAAATTAGCTGGGCATGGTGGTGTGTGCCTGTAATCCCAGCTACTCAGGAGGCTGAGGCAGGAGAATTGCCTGAACCCAGGAGGTGGAGGTTGCGGTGAGCCGAAATCATGCCATTGCACTCCAGCCTGGGTTACAAGAGTGAAACTCCATCTCAAAAAAAAAAAAAAATCTTATCTGGCTGCATGCAGTGGCTCATGCCTGTTATCCCAGCACTTTGGGAGGCCAAGGCAGGCAGATCACAAAGTCAGGAGATTGAGACTGTCCTGGCTAACATGGTGAAACACCATCTCTACTGAAAATAAAAAAAAATTAGCAGGGTGTGGTGGCATGTACCTGTAGTCCCAGCTACTCAGGAAGCTGAGGCAGGAGAATTGCTTAAACCTGAGAGGTGGAGGTTGTAGTGAGCCAAGATCATCCCACTGCACTCCAGCCTGGGTGACAGAGTGAGACTCCATCTCAAAAAAAAAAAAGAGAAAAAAGAAAAAGTTTTATCTGAGATTGCTGCTGCAGAACAATGTTCTGTCAAAGCCAATTTTAAAAGCCTATGTGAAAAATAATTTTTCTTGCTGCACTTTATACAAATAATTTGGCCAAGCATAATAAAGCAAATTGGTCCTACCATGATTTATCTTTAGCAAAAATGGGAAACTGGAGAGAGAAAAATTATGTTTTAAAAGCTATAGTACACTGGCTGTTAGAGCCTAGTTTTGCCTAATGTTTTTCAATTTTTATTATTTCTACAGTTTAGGCTGAATTCTAATTTTTCCTGAGCAAAATATTTTCAAAATAATGTTTTCACTTTTTTCTTCCATTTTTTCCTAATTTGAAATCACTGAAAACTAAGCTGTGCTTTCTTAAAGCCCTGCAAACTGAATCTAGAAAACTTAAACTTTAGAAGAAAATAACAGCAACCTATATTCATAATATAAGCCACTTTCAACCTGCCTACCGATGTGTGGACTTCAGAGTAATGTGGCCTATATTGATTTTCCAGTATTTTTCTTGTGTTTATTTTTCTTTTTCTCCCTTCCTCCTCTTACTTTTTCTTTTTCTTTTTCTTTTTTTTTTTTTTTTGTGATGAAGTTTTGCTCTTATTGCTCAGGCTGGAATGCAGTGGTGTGATCTCAGCTCACTGCAATATCCACCTCCTGGGTTCAAGTGATTCTCCTGCCTCAGCCTCCTGAGTAGCTGGGATTACAGGGACCCTCCACAGTTCTTCGCTAATTTTTGTATTTTTAGTAGAGATGGGGTTTTACCATGTTGACCAGGCTGATCTTGAACTCGTGACCTCAGGTGATCTGCCTGCCTTGACTTCCCAAAGTGCTGGGATTACAGGCGTGAGCCACTGTGCCTGGCCAGCCTCCCGTTTTTTCTTCACAGGACATGAGACTAATCAACCTGCTAAAAATGAGCTTTCCTAATAACTTGTGATGTACCTGTTTAGGAAAAAATCATCCTAGCCATGAGAGATGAGATGAAACCCTGAGACCAGAGACTCATTTTCTTCTAAAATGCTTTCGCCAAAAGATTTTATTTATTTATTTTTATGTTCTGGGGTACATGCGCAAGATATGCAGATTTGACACATAGGTAAACATGCACATGGTGGTTTGCTGCACCTATCAACCCATCACCTAGGTATCAAGCTCAGCACGCATGAACTGTTTTCTCTGATACTGTCCCCCTTCACTGTTCTCCCACGACAGGCCCCAGTGTGTGTTGTTCCCCTCCCTGTGCCCATGTGTTCTCATTGTTTAGCTCCCACTTAAAAGTGAAAGCATGTGGTGTTCAAAAGATTTTTAAAAAGAAAGTGGGGGAAATGTGAAAGGAAAATAAATCTTGGGACCCCCAAATCCTGAAGTTAAGGGAAAAAAATCAAGCTGGAAACTGCTTAGGGCAAACCTGCCTATGATTCTATTCAAAGTCGTCCCTCTGCTTGCTGAGATAAATGCATATCTGATTGCCTCCTTTGGAAGGACTAATCAGAAACTCAAAAGAATGTGACAGTGTGTCTCTCCCCTCCGTACTCAGTTGTCCGACCTTTCTGGGTGGAATCAATGTATATCTTACATATATTGATTGATGGGACTCATGTCTCCCTAAAATGAATAAAACAAAGCTGTGCCCCAACCACCTTGCCACCTTGGGCACATATCATCAGGACTTCCTGAGGCTGATGTCACAGATGTGCATCCTCAAACTTGGCAAAATAAACTCTCTAAATTAACTGAGACATGTCTCAAATATTCAGGGTGTATACACTTCTCTATAAGTAAAAATATGAAGTTTTCTGAATCCCAATAAAAATACCAGAAGGCTTTTAGGTTTTTGTTTTTGTTTTTCTTTGAGACAAAGTTTTGCTCTTGTTGCCCAGGCTGGAGTGCAGTGGTGTGATCTTGGGTCACTGCAACCTCCATCTCCCGAGTTCAGGTGATTCTCCTGCCTCAGCCTCCTGAGTAGCTGGGATTACAGGCATGTGCACCATGCCCAGCTAATTTTGTATTTTTAGTAGAGATGGAATTTCTCCATGTTGGTCAGGCTGGTCTCGAACTCCTGACCTCAGGGATCTGTCTACCTCAGCCTTACAACATGCTGGGATTACAGGCATGAACCACTGTGCCTGGCTAGGTTTTTGTTTTAGAGCTTGGCAATTTGATACTAAAGTTTATGTGGAAAAATAAATGTGCAAGAATAGCTAGAGAACGCTAAAAGAAAAAATAATATAGTGGTGGTGGAGAGTTCTACCAGACATGAAGACATCTAATAAAGCTTCTATAATGAAAACAGTGAGGTATAGCACATAGATAGACAAACTAATGAAATGGAATAGAAAGTTCAGAAATTGAACCAAGTGCATATGAAAATGTAGTGAACATCTATAAATAAAGATGGAACTCTGACTCAGCACTCTTGAACAAATTGCTTTGCCCGGATTGGCCTTAATCTGTAAACTGAGAATGACAGCACTGTCTAACGGGAAGAAAAAGAAATGCCTCTATTGTCACATCAGTCTACCAATTTTGAGTAGAGCCTTTAATCTCTCTGATCCTCCCTTCCATCAGCTATGAATGGGGAAGAATAATAATATTAAATCCACTTCCTGTCTGGGGAACTTGCTAATAGCCAATGAGAAAACATTGGTGAGAGCCTTTTGGAGAATGAGAAAAGCTGTAGACAAAAATGGGAGATTACTAAGCAGGCTAAACACTCACCACAATTCAGAATGAAGCTTGATATAATTTGGCTGTGTCCCCACCCAAATCTCATCTTGAATTTTAGTTCTCATAATCCCCATGTGTCACGGGAGGGACCCGGTGGAGGTAGTTGAATCATGGAGGTGGTTATCTCCATGCTGTCCTCCTGATAGAGAGTTCTCACGAGACCTGATGGTTTTATAAAGGGCTTTCCTGCTTTGCTCAGCGCTTCTTCCTGCAGCCTTGTGAAGAAGTTGACTTGCTTCCCTCTCCCCTTCCACCATTCATTGCAAGTTTCCTGAGGCCTCCCCAGCCCTGCTGAACTGTGAGTCAATTAAGTCTCTTTATAAATTATTCAGTATCAGGTGTATGTCTTTATTAGCAGTGAGAGAACAGACCAATACAGAGCTTAATTGCGCTTTTTCCATCCTAGGGCTTAGTGCCATCACCTACGCTACTCAGGTTGGAATTTGCTAGGGAAGTAGGAAATAGTGACGACAAATTTCAAGTGAACGTTAATGACTCAGAAAGAAGATTTTAGAATTTTCTTACCCATCCCTCCTTTTACTTATTCATTTTTGATGAGAGTTCGGGTTTCCTGGGTCACAAAAAATCCTGGAAACTATGTCCATTCATGGACCTCAATGAAGATGCTGGGGTCGTCTGTGAAGTGAAGCAGATTCCCACAGGAGGTAGCCTGGAGCAGAGTCACTGCAGTGTTTAGCAGGGCTGGGGCCTGTGTCCTGGCTTTTGTCTTCGCGTGACCCAGCAAACAGCCATCTTCACCAGGGCAGGGCCTAAGGAAACTTGAGGTTAAAAGGAAATTTTTATAAATAAATCTTGACTCTTTCAAAATGTCAGTTTATTTATATTATTATTTTTATTATTATTTTTTGAGACAGAATCTTGCTCTATTGCCCAGGGCTGGAGTGCAATGGCGTGATCTTGGCTCACTGCAACCTCCACCTCCCAAGTTCAAGTGATTCTCCTGCCTCAGCCTCCTGAGTAGCTGGGATTACAGGCATGTGCCACTAAGCCCGGCTAATTTTTGTATTTTTAGTAGAGACGGGGTTTTGCCATGGCCAGGCCGGTCTGGAACTCCTAACCTCAGGTGATCCACTGCCTTGACCTCCCAACGTGCTGGGACTACAGGTGTGAACCAGCACACCCAGCCCAAAGCTTCATCTTCTAATTCAGGCAAGATACTCAGTCATTTCATCTGGAGTTTAGCTGAGCTGTGACTCAGAGAAGGAATTTGGTAAGTCTAGCTTTTATGTAATTCCTGAAGGCATACTATAATGTCATCATGGTGCATCAAAGAGCTCTGTGAACCCTCCAAAAATGGCACCACAGAAGTTTGATGAAAGACAAGTCTCTGATTCATAATGATGCTTTCCTGAAAGTGTTCAGGCCCCATCATTCTAAAGTCATAGCTACCTACCAGTTTTAACTTGAGAAAACCTTTTACAAGTGTTTCTTCCTCTGGCCTAAGATGTGTGATACCTTCTTCCCTTCACTGTGGCCCCCAATCCCTTTCTTATTCAGAGTCTCTGGCCAGAAAGCAAAGGCTGGGTGGTCGTCTTAAGAAGATATATATTAATGTTGCTTCCAGACAGAATGTCTGGCTGCTTGTTCTCGTGGTCCAATAACAAGATTCAGACAGCCTGGGAAAGAAAGGAGTTTATTTCTACAACCAGTTACAGGCAGAAGGTCGGAGTCACTCACCAGACCAACTCAACGTTCCAAGTTTTTTTCTAGTGCTTATATACATTTAAGCTCTGTGCTGTGTGTGGTAGTACCCCTACAAGCATGGATGTTTAATTCAGTCTCTCTGTAATCTTTGTCTAGGGTCTGGGGTCTGGCAAGCCTTCTCTAGAGTCCTGGAAAGTTGATCTTAAGTGGGCCCTGGTATGAGCTGTGTGTGTAAGAGTGCTTTTATTATTTGATGAGACTTTAGTGTCTGAGAAAACCCAGGTGGGGTCTTAATGGCTTCTTGTGGGCATTCCAGTCGTTACACTCAGGCACCGGTTTCACCAGTTCTTTAACTCTTAACTGATACATTCATTAGAATTATGGCCAAAGGTCAATGAAATTGAACTGTTGTGGTTGCAAATGGAAGCCTGGCCTGCCACAATGTCTTTGAAGAATTATGGGGTTGGGGAAAAGGCCATTAGGTCTGATTTATTTCCATTAGTCCTGCACAGATTCAGTGACCTCACAGTTTCCAGGATTTTCATAGTTTCCAGTGACCTTCAGTGACCTCACAGAAGCTCAAGGCCTTGGACCAAAGTCTTGAGAAGGTGGGGTCAGGTGGGTTTCAGTAGGAAGCTAGGTATCATATGGGTGGAGGGGAGAAGCATCAGGAGGCAGTCCTGGATGGGAAGGTGAGGAGGGAACGCCCTGGGCTGATGGGAATTCTGAGCAGCCTGAGAGTCACAGGGTTGGGAAGGCGGGGCGGCAGGCTCTGAGTGATGAAGTAGCTGTCACAGGTGTTGGGATAAATAAGAAGTCACCCCGAGGCTGGGCGCAGGGGCTCACACCTGTTATCCTACACTTTGGGAGACCAAGGCGGGTGGATCTCCTGAGGTCGGGAGTTTGAGACCAGCCTGACCAACATGGAGAAATCCCATCTCTACTAAAAATACAAAGTTAGCAGGACGTGGTAGCACATGCCTATAACCCCAGCTACTCTGGAGGCTGAGGTGGGAGAATTGCTCGAACCCGGGAGGCGGAGGTTGTGGTGAGCCGAGATCGTGTCACTGTACTGTACGCCAGCCTGGACAACATGAGCAAAACTGTCTCAAAAAAAAAAAAAAAAAAAAAAAAGGGCACCCTGGAAACTCCCTGAAAAGAAACTGTTGGTGTTTTCCCACCGGAACCTTGTTCTCAATGAAAATGCTGCCTGTTTTCCTTAAAGGAACCAAGAGAGGGCGCTGTGGTCCAATGAAAATTACTTCCAAATCCTGCTAAACCAGTTTCCCCTGAGTAGTTCTCCCCATTCCCACCCGTCTATAAAAATGCAGTTGTTTAAGGAATCCCAGGTTGATTTTTTAATTTTCAACCTCTTGATCAGCAGTGGTAGAAATGTTTGCAACAGGCTCTCCGTTAAGCATATGCTGTATGGATAGGGTAATTCAGGGTCCCACTTAAGCCCAAAAAGCACCTTGAGATGACGGTTTGGGCAGCATTGTTATGTTGCACACGAAATGCACGCGGTTCCTGTGTTCAGGAGTCCAAACACACAAACAGTTTCAAGGATGTAAAGGGAATTGGGATAGTGGGGAAATGGGTGGAGGATGTGCATTGTAGGATAACAAAGAGTGTGTGCATGCACATCTACACACACACGAATACACATGCACACACACGCACACACCCATGCACACCCACACACACACGAATACACATGCACACACACGCACACACCCACGCACATCTACACACACACGAATACACATGCACACACACGCACACACCCATGCACATCTACACACACACGAATACACATGCACACACACATGCACACACCCATGTACACACACCCAGGCACATCTACACACACACCCATGCGCACACACACAGGCACATCCACACACACACACATGCATATAAACACACACATACACACAGGCACACACATGAACACATGCGCATACACACACGCACACACACATGCACAAACACACACACATACATACACAGAAACACATATACACACACACACGCACACACTGGGTTTTTAGATTGGTCAGGATGGGCAGGGACTTGGTTCACTGCTGACTGCTCCTTCAGCATCTGACATCTGTACCTGCCAGAGAGTGGGTGCCCATGAATATCTTTGAATTGTAACTGCTATGTTCAATATAAAGATTTATGAAAAAGTGAGAAAATTTAGTCAACTGGTTGTTTAGCTCATGCAGCACTGAGTAATGTTTAGCTGTTTTAACTGCCTTTAAAAAAACTCAGCTAAATGAATTGGCTCTTTGTTTGAAGATCATGTAAATATAGGAAAAACGTCAATAAATACAATGGCCAACCATTGCCTGTTTCACCTCGGCTCTCCTGAAAGCTCCCATTCTTGTCTTCCCACCCTCTTTCTTATGGGTACCCTTGAAGGCCAGGGAATGTGAGCCTTGCCGTGGCTGAGACCACAGTGGCATCTCCCGCAGGCTGGAGGTGGGAATGTGTGCAGGGCTGGGTTGTGTTCACCTCATGAGTGACTTCATTGGCTCCCCTGGTTAGTCCTTTTCCTCCCTTCTCCCGTCCAGAGCAGGTCCCAGCAGGCAGCAGAGGAAGCTCAGAATTTCAGATGTGACTCTCTGCATTGAGGTCTTCATTGTAAGATGAGATCTGAATCCAGGACTCTGTCCCTTTCATCTCCAGGGCTCTCTGCTTCTGAGATCCCCACACCCCAGTCATGTTCCTTAGCTGGGGGCAATGAGACCTTGCCCCAACACCTGCACACCACCACCTGGGGACCCGTAGAAATGCAGATTCTCTGCCTCTCACTAGACATATGGAATAAGAAACTGTTAACTGGCTCAGGGATGACACCCTCTAATCCCTGCTATGCAGGAGGCTGAGGCAGGAGGATTGCTTGAGCCCAGGAGTTCAAGACCAGCCTAGACAACATAGCATGACTCGATCTCTAAGAAAATTAAAAAAAAAAAAAGAAAGAAAGAGAAAGGAAAGATAAACTGTTGGGAGAGGGGAAAAGGCAGTCTCAGCAGCAGGGTCTTTCCACCCACGTGGGGCTGCATGAGAAGGGGTCTTGGGTACTTTCTTATGGAGAGAAAGAGCCGCGCAGCCTGTGCCGTGCCTATCACCTCATGCATTGTGTGGGGAGAGATTTCGGACTCAATGGGTGTGTGTCAAAGACCCTTAGACACCCCCCAGCTTTCAGTATTTCAGACTCCAGAGGGAAACGCTGGGTTCTTCCCCTGGGTGCAAGAGGAGTGCGCATAGGTAAATTGTCCTCTCTATGCTGACCACGCTATTGGAGCTGGTCTTGTTCTGTGTCTTCTCTACCTAAGCAAAGCATCGCCCCATTTGGTGCTTGACTGCACTGTTTTCCTTGGTGACTCTGATGCCAAGGTGAATGGGCATAAGGGTTTGGAGTTCTCCCTGGGGGCTGGTGACTGGTGTGTTGTGTTTTGTGAGACAGACACTTTGACAGGGACCTAGCAGTCTAATTTAGCAGCAAACCCCCTCCCCCCCACTGGAGATTCTGATGCTTGCAAAATGGAGCCACTGGTTTAGTGGAATCGTGTAGTGGGAAGAGGGGGTGCTAATAGACTGACGACCACGTGGAGTTTGGTGCACTCGAATCCACAGGAGTGGGCTCAGGGAGGAGCTTCATGGTGGGAAACAAAAATCACATGGAATGCCTGGGGCATAAGAAGAGGCAGGGCCAAGATGTGAGGGCCAGGGTTGTGCAGCCTGGCATCCAGGAGCGCAGGCTCTAAATGCGACTGCTTAAATCAGCTCTGCCGCTTATTATGTGTGTGACCCTGGGCAAGAGGCATAACCTGTCTAGTCTCTGTTTCCTCATTTCTAAATATATAACAGGTCTTACAGTAACGCTGTAGTAGGCATAATCAGCAACCACCTGCATCTGGTGCCTTAATCAGTATTCAGTACTCAGTTCAGTATTCCACCACATCACATGCTGTACAGGTTTGTAGCCTGATATATCATAGCCTATTGCTTCTGCACACTTCTGCCCAACTTCTGGGTCCAAAGCTCTCCCGGGTGTGAAAGCCAGCTGTCCAACTGCCCTCACTACACTCCCTAACTCCACAGTGCCTCCCCACAAACAAGATTGGATGGGACTGGCGTGTAGGAGTGCTGGCTCTCCAGCCCCTCTGGTGAGTAAATCTGAGGTGTGCGTTCTACAGTTCTAGGGTTTCCTTAGCAGAGATAACCCCCGATGACCGTGGGGGTAACTGGCTCCATCTGTCAGAACCCCCTTCCCTCACCCACTTCCCCACTCTCGAGGCTGCTTTCTAAGACTGTCTTCCAGAGGAGCAACTTGTACTTGAATCTTTGTCTGAAGGTCTTCTCCGGGGGAACCCACGATACCCTAAGAACTTACCTTCTGGGGTTGATCCGAAGATGAAAGGCGTTAGTGCTGAGAGCTGTGACTGGCGCATCCTAAGCACAGTCCTGTGCCTTAGAACTACATTTTGGTTCACAGACCACATATACAATGCTAGTCCCTTAAGATTATAATACGATATTCTTACTGTACCTTTCTACATTTAGATACACAAATACTTACCATTATGTTACAATTGCCTACAGTATTCAGCATTCAGTTCAGTATTCCACCACATCACATGCTGTGCAGGTTTGCAGCCTGGGAGCGACAGGCTGTATCACATAGCCTGGGTGTGCAGTCGCTGTAGCGTGTGGGTTTGTATAAGTGCTCTTTGCCAAGCAGCACGTTTCCTAGGTAGTATCCCCGTCGTTAGGAGATACATGACTGTCCTCGACAAATCGTTGCCATTGTTGTTAGTAACTGAGCACTGAGCTTGGAGCTAGGACGCTTCACTCCAGTCTGCTTTGCAGCTCACTGCCTGTAGGAGCCTGAGTGAGTCAGCTAACTTCTCTGAGTGCCAGTTCAGCCTTTTCAGGGCTGTTTCTAGAATAAAAAGAAGGAGAGCTCCACAAGCACTTTGCAAACGGCGGGGGGTGATACCAAAGTGAAAGTGAAAAAGGACCAACGTGGAGAAAACAGGCGAGATTAACACCAGCGGCCCACAGAGCCGGGACTGCCTCAGAACCAGCCAGAACCTTCTTGAACCAAGGCCCCGGACCAGAGGGCTGTGGCCTACACAGCTCCCCACTGACCTGGGGAGGAGCAGGGAGGCAAGTGGGGATTTCTCAGCCTTGCTAGTTTGACAAAATAGCATTGAGTGCCGCTGCAAATCAGGCCCCTTAATCTGTGCACTTCTGAGCATTTTGGGCAGGGTATCTTAGAAGTTATGAGAGGCTTGTATACGGCCAGGCAATTAAGCAAAACTGATCAAAATTATGGATATGTTGACTCTGATACTATCTCTACTACTTTGGCCTACAGATATACCTGTAAGTAATCAATTTCAAAATGTTATATTCTGGCCAGGTGTATATTCTGGCTCATACCTGTAATCCAGCACTTTGGGAGGCTGAGGCAGACAGATCACTTGAGGCCAGGAGTTCAAGACCAGCCTGGCCAACATGGTGAAACCTCGTCGCTACTAAAAATACAAACATTAGCCAGGCGTTTTGGTGGGTGCCTGTAATCCCAGTTACTCTGGAGGCTGAGGCATGAGAATCATTGAACCTGGGAGGTGAAGTTTGCAGTGAGCTGAGATTGAGAGCCACTGTACTTCAGCCTGGGCAACAGAAAGAAACCCTGTCTCAAAAAAAATAATAAAAATAAAAATTACTTAATTTAAAAAATGGGGATATTAGAAATGGAGAGAAATGCAAAACTGGGGTTATGAATACCATGCCACAGTTTAGATATTCACCTTTTACAGATCAAATGCTTGTAACAGGAAAAGTGCTGCTAATATCATAACCAAATCATTCTAAATCATTACTAACTCAGTGCAGAGTAGGCATAGGCATAGTAAGTCCAGGATAAATACAAGAGGCAGTCTTCTCACTTGAATCCAGTGTGTTTCGTCAAGGAACACACAACCTCACTTGGCCACCATGTCGTTAAAAGATAAACATAGGCACATTCAACTTCTAAAGAGTTTATTTAAGCAGACAGTGATTAACACTTCAGCCAGCTCCAAACCGCAAGTATCAACGCTCCCCCTGGACGGGCAGGGGAGAAGACTACCTTCGTAAGGTGTTCAAAAGAGCAACACAAAGAAAATGTACTTGGCTGGGTGCGGTGGCTCATGCCTATAATCCCAGCACTTTAGGAGGCCGAGGTGGGTGGATCACAACGTCAAAAGATCGAGACCATCCTGGTCAACAAGGTGAAACCCCGTCTCTACTAAAAATACAAAAATTAGCTGGGCATGGTGGTGCATGCCTGTAATCCCAGCTACTTGGGAGGCTGAGGCAGGAGAATTGCCTGAACCCAGGAGGCGGAGGTTGCAGTGAGCCAAGATCATGCCATTGCCCTCCAGCCTGGGTAACAAGAGCGAAACTCCATCTCAAAAAAAAAAAAGAAAGAAAGAAAATGTATTTGACTAACCGAAGTGGCCAGTTCCTAGTTAGAGGTTAGTGGGTGGTTTCTGATGGGTTGATCTTAAATTTTGTTTTCCCATTTGCATTGGAATTTGCTCTGATTCTATAGAAACCCAAGGTGGGAGAGCTATCTCAGCCTAGCGGCCTCATGATTAAATTTTTGTTTAATGTGTTAGATGCCTATTGTAAGCCCTTTGTCCTCCACCTGAGCAGTGACAGCCTTTTTGAAAGTGGAGGTGTGGGAATAAGGCCTTCTGGGGATCACCTGGAATGTGGATTAGAGCAGGGAGCGAGGAGATGTGGAATGTATCTAGAAATAGCAGAGGCGGTGTGAGCTGAGGCCCCAGAGGTCTGAAGTAAAGCTGCAGAAATGGCTGTGAAGAGGTGAAAGGACTTACAGAGATATTTTGAAAGAGAATTTTTTTTTTTTTCGAGACAGGGTTTTGCTTTGTCAGTCACTCAGGCTGGAGTGGAGTGGTGCTATCAGCTGCCTGCGGCCTTGACCTCCTGGGCTCAAGGGATCCTCTGCTTCCACCTTCCAGAGTGCTGGGATTACAGGCATGAGCCACCACACCAAGCCAGCTTTTTGTTTTTTCACGTATGTGAAATAGCAGAAATGCCAATAGAATTGGCAAGAGACCATTTTTTAAAATGAGCAAAAGGAATTGACTTGTGACTTCCACAAGCTTCCTGACTTGTGGCTTCCCTCAGGTACTGCTTCTGTCTCCTCAGGAAAGGAAGAATTTTTTTTTTTTTAAACAGAATTCTGTTCTTGCTGCCCAGGCTGAAGTGCCGTGGTGCAATCTCAGCTCACCACAACCTCCGCCTCCCGGGTTCAAGCGATTCAAAAGGAGGGATATTTTAGAGAGGCAGAGGGCTTGCCATTCGCTACCCCTCCAGTCATGCACGTGTGTGTATTTTTCCTTTGATGAATGTTTTTCCTCAAAACACCAGGCAATAGCCAGTGGAAGATGACATGTCCCAAGATAGCCAATGTGGCTGGCAAATGTCATTTATTTCCCTGTGTCCTTTCAGACTAAGCCCTGGATGGTGGGAAGAGTCTGTGAGATGTAGCAGCTGCAACGTTTTCCAACATTCAGGAAGGGAAGACTTGTCCTGAAAAGGAAGGGGGAGTAGGCTTCTCCTCTTAAAGGTTAAAGATGAAATGACAACCGGGCTGGAGCCCTTGTTAAGGTTCCCAGGGGGCTGGCCCAGGCCCCTGCTCTCAGATACGGAGCCCTACTCACCCCAGGGAAACACTTAAGCAGCTTAGTTCATATCGCATAGCAGCTATTTAACCCAGGAAGCTCAGTGTTATCCACTAAAAGAGTAATACTAACGTGGCAAGCAAAGCAATTGAGATTTTCATTTTTGTGTGCATGTTTTGCTTTGGTGTTTTGCTTGCTTTGTAAGAGATAAGAGCTAACCCCATTCTAAGAGAGTAGTCCAGCCTTCCTCTTTGAGGTTGAGGACTTTGGGGTTCCTTGTGTTTTATAACTGAAGATGGAGATTTCAGGGCATCTGAGAACAACTCCCAGCAAGGCTTCTGTTGGAGGTGAGTGGCCCACTGAGTGTGAGGGGCTGGTGCTAGAAGTGGAGGGAGAAACAGGTGGCTGAGCCGGGGGGGGGGGGGGGGGGGGGGGGGAGGAGACAGGCCTCCAAGGCTCTTCAGAGGGCACTTGGTTTTTGAGGCCTTTCTCTCTTTCTTTCCCCTTCCTTCCTTCCTTCCTTTCCCCTCTCTCTCAAAGAAACACATATGTTTCTTTGATATATCTTGAAATAGCCCTGCAAAGTTATCTCTTTTGGAGAAAAATCTGCGTTCTGTAAAAAGTCCTGTTTCCTTTTTCCAGGTCTTTATCCTGATCCAGGAGAGAATCAACTAAGAGTCTGACACCTTTTTTAAAAGTCTGATTAAGTAACATTTGCAATATATTCTCTCTGAGCCTGCTACCTGGAGGCTTTATCTCCATAATAAGAACCAATAAGAACCTTGGCCTCCACAGTACCTTGTCTTAACCCAGACATTTCCTTTCTGCTGATTCCTGGTCTTTAGATAAACTCTTTCTACCACCTGCCAATCAAAAAATTTCTGAATCTTCTTATGATAACCTGGAAGCCCCACCACTTCCACTTGTCCTGCCTTTATGGACCAAACCAATGTACATCTTACATATATTAATTGATGTCTTATGTCCTCCTTTAATGGATAAAACCTAGTTGTGGCCCAACCACGGGCACATGGTCTCAGGGTCTCCTGAGGGCTGTGTTATAGGCTATGGTCACTCATATATGGTTCACAATAAATCGCTTCAAATATTAATATTTTGCAGAGTTTGACTTTTTTTTTTTTGACAGAGTTTTGCTCTTGTCACCCAGGCTGGAGTGCAATGGCACAATTTCGGCCCACTGCAATCTCTGCCTCCTGGATTCAAGTGATTCTCCTGCCTCAGCCTCCAGAGTAGCTGGGACTACAGGTGCCTGCCACCAATCCCAGCTAATTTTTGTGTTTTTTTTGGGTAGAGATGGGGTTTCACCATGTTGGCCAGGCTGGTCTCGAACTCCTGACCTCAGGTGATCCACCTGCCTCAGCCTTCCAAAGTGCTGGGATTATAGATGTGAGCCACTGGCCTTTCTAAAAATGGTGGAGGCCTGTGCTCTGCTACCACACAGCCTGGTAAGACAAGTGACAAGATTTCTGAAGCAGTCAAGTGTGGAAGCAGCAGAAGAAAGCTAAGAGCAGTGGCCTTGGAGACTGAGGCAAAACGTTCCTACTTATTTGCTTGGCTGAAAATGAAGTGAAAATGAAGTCACCTGACTTTTCTGATTTTAAATGGAAATGGTGTCCATAATCAGGAGCACCCCAGTGGTGACCAGGAAGGAAATACATCTAGAGTTTCTGTTTTCTAAATGTAAGTTCTTCGGATTCTTGCATGACCCTAGGAAGGGGATGTGATTCCCAAAATATGACTGTGGTTGCTTTTCCACTACCTTTAAACAAATAAGGTAATACGATATTGACTTTCACTTTGGTGTTGTAAGACTAAATTCATAACTGAAATATTAAGAACACACAATTCTAGGTTGTATGGAGTCTGAAGCTAGTGAAACTTGGAAGGCCTTCTTTAAGAAAAATAACATATGGCTATGAATACACAATTAGGCATGGAAATGATTATTCAGAATAAGAGCAGAAATCACAACAAAATGATAAAAATTTTAAAAATCTGACTGTATTAGTTTCCCGTGGCTACTGTAACAAACTATTGCAAACTTGGTGGCTTAAATACTGGAAATGTGTTCTGTCGCAGTTTTGGCCTGAAGTCTTAGATCAAGTTGTTGTTGGCAGGGCTGCACTCCCTCCAGAGGCGCTAGGAGAGAACCCTCCTTTGCTTCTTCCAGCTTCTGGGGGCTT